ATAGGCTTTTTGCTAACCTATAGGCTGCTGCTCTTGCTTTGCACAGATAAATGTTTTTCAGTTGTATTACTCGTATATATTATACAATCCATATTTATATATATATATATATATATATATATATACATATATTTGCTTTGCCCCTTTATGAAATAAACTGTTTAAAATGAACCAGACAGCATCTTTACCAAAGCTTGTTCTGACTATTACAAAATGCTTTTATGGTATCTTTGTAATGTCATGAGCATTGCTACTTTTAAAAAGAGACTATGGCTCATAAATGCACCTTATTTGGCCACTAGTCTCTGTACTGGCATTTCCATTTGTCTGGGAATGTTTTTTTGAAATCACTAACATTCAATTGTGTTATATGTTTATTATAAATCATTCTCATCGCTGTTGCACAAATTAACTTTTGGAAGCTGATGTTGAAGTATAATTGCAGTAGCATAATATTTTAGTACAATTTTTGCTGTGACTGTAAGTTGTCCCATACATGTTTATGGGCAGGGAAATATCCTCTTTAGAAAGCATGACTGATTGTGCTGATTGCTCTAGAAATGAAAATTGCACTATTTTTGTATTAAACCTGGCCTAATGTGTGCTATACACCTTTGTATGTATTTTGTGCAGTGACATTTCATTTACTTTTTAGAAATGATTGCTTAATGTAAGGAGCGGTATAAATTCCATTCTCTTAATATATCTAACAGATCCAATGGCGTATATTATTAGGATGTAGCTATCTATGATGAAATGTTTTCTTTTCATATTACCAAAATACAATTAACAGTGTCTTTGCAAAGCTTTGTGTTATATTATATTTTGTCCTTATTGCATTGATTTTACTTCCCCTTGCTTGTTTAGTTCAGTGAAATAGTGAAATAAATTTCAGCTCACACTTGAAATTGTCCTGCGATTGAGATATTTTGAGTGCATGTTTGGGGTTAAGTTTTTATTTTTCAGGTTATATCTTTATCAGAAACACTGTTCTACAGAACGACCGAATGAGTCCTTGATTAAACAGTTTACAGTGTGTCATTCTCTATTACAGCACTACGGATACAATGGAACTTTTATTACTGATGACATTTGAGAGTGAATTCGAAATAATTATATAATTGCAAATTATATTGTTGTAACATGAGCATAGTTATAGCAATGTCATGACATAAATATGACATAATTTTGATAGCAAGGACAAATCACTTTCTAATATCAGATAAACCTGCATACACCTGTTCACTGAAAACAGCTTTCAGGGTTGTTGTTTTTTTTACAATTAAAAATTAAAATCAGATTTGGTTTTCTGGTTATTCTGGTCTAGTCACATTTCTTTCAGAAATTTGACTGGAAATTGCTTTCATAATACATACAGTAACGAACTCTGTGTTGGTAGGAACCTAACCATTGCCTGTCCTCCAATCTGAGTATGTGAAGTCTATTTACATATGTACAGTAACTGTAGCTTTACGAACGCTGGATAACTGGCAGTGGTGGTGAGAATCACCTGAATACATCTTCTTGTGCATAAGCGCACGCATGCAGATACCTTCAACAACGTCAAACATATCCCAGCATGAGAACGCCTCTATGCACAAATCAACGTCCATAGAGACATGGTTTACCAGGGTTGGTGTGGAAGAACTTGAGTGGCCCCAATGAACACCTTTGTGATGAATTAGCACTTGGACTACGCACCAGGCCTTCTTGCCCAACAGCAGTGCCTATCCTTATTAATGCTCTTATAGTTGAATGAGCAAAAAATCCCCATAGCCAGAAAACTCCAAAAATTGTCCAATGCTTCGGTCAGTGTGTTCCACAGCTGTAGGGGAATTTTGCCTGCTAGACAGTTAGCTATAGTAGCAATGCCCTTCCCTACTAATTTGTATAAATTGCAGGACTTTTTAGGTCTTTGTAATCATTGTAGGCCATGGATTGATTCATATGCTGCCATGTCACAACTATTATAACTCTTTTTATTCGTAACCCTCGACATCATGACTCCATCACACACACTGACACCACACGGGCTAAATTTGAAGAGTTAAAATCAGCTTGGTGTCTGCTGCAGCTCTAGGCCTTTGTGACCCAAGCACTATCTTTGTACATGAAGTGGGTTCACACCTGACACCACAACATGGTAACACCCTGTAACTTATTACTCTGCTAAGTTTGATATTGTCGGCATGTAGTATGGGCCCTTGTTCATGAGCAGTAACAAGTAAAGATTTTAGCCACAGGCCATGCTGTCCCTCATCCACTGCTAAAATAGCCTACAATGTGAACATGTGGAAAATAATCCGAAAATATATTTATATATTTGTTATTACCCATTTTATACTGCATATAATCCATTCTATAATGTTGGTCTTTATGTAACTCGATAATGAAAGCTGGATTGTGGGCTACGTGTGGAGGGAAAATTAAATGGCCTTAATTCCTAGGACTTGCACATCACTATCAGAAGAAGCGCAGAATAAACACATTCCATTGCCTAGGCTGGCTCCAGTAAGTCTGTAATAAATTTAGTTTTAGCAAGTTATGCAGAGGACTGCTTAAGCTGAGGAGAAGTAAAAACCTTGATAGATTAACAGGCAGAACTCTCAGCAGAAGGTCAAATGTCGATAAGGAGGTCAGCCTGACCTGGTGCGGTCTCAGCAGCCTTGCATGCTATAGATAATATAAATGGTAAATGGGTGATTTAAAGGGATGAGGAGACATCAAGTGGTGCTAAAAAGAGTTACTGTGCATGACAGATTAGAATTGGCCAATTAAAGGGGGAATCCTTGGGGATTTTCAGATCATGCAATATGGTCAATTCTTCAGTGTTCACTCTTGAGACCAACCTACTTTATTGCTTTGGTTTACCCTTGTAATAAATTTCTTGCTGATTCTAAGAAGGTTTGGTTTCCTTGCTTATCCTCAAACCCACGTGGGAGATGGGAAAAATTTCCCACAACATAACATCATAATTGGACTATGGAGCAGTGGAAGAAGGTGACCTGGTCTATGAAACAAGTTTTCTTTTACATCATGTGGATGACTGGGTGCGTGTGCACCATTTACCTGATGAAGAGATAGAACCAGGATCCACTATGGATATACTGTAATGGAAACTGGCAGTGTGATGCTCTGTGCAATGTTCTGCTGGGAAACCTTGGGCTATGGCATTCATGGGGAGGTTGCTTTGACATGTACCACCTACCTAAACATTGTTGCAGACCAAGTACACCCCTTTATGGCAACGGTATTCCCTAATGGCAGTAGCCTCTTTCGGCAGGATAACGTGCCCTGCCATGAACAAAAACTTGTTCAGGAATGGTTTGAAGAACATGACAAAGATTTCAAGGTCTGGACTTGGTCTCCAGTCCGATCGAGCATCTGGGGATGTGACGGTCAAACAAGTCTGATCCATGGATCCTCACCTCGCAACTTACAGGACTTAAAGGCTCTACTGCTAACGTCCTAATGCCAGATACATTGCAGAACTTCAGCTCAGAGCTGTTTTGGCAGTACAAGGGGGACCTTGTGTTGTTAAAGTTGTACCACCACCCCAGGAAGGAAACGTGGGTGAGCCAGAGAATGCGGTCTGAAAGGATCTGGTGAACTTAGGTTCTGGGGGTCAAACTGAGAATAGAGCTTCCCTACACCCCCCTTTTTCATCCTCCCTCTCTCCTGAGGTGTAGGACTTAATGGTAGGTAGGGAAAAATAGCAGTCAACTAGAATAGGATATGCATATATAAGATTGCATTAAAGACTTTATTTTGTAAAGTTTTGTTTTGAATCTCCTTAATGAATATGAATACAGTTGACACAAATGATTGGTAAAATCTGGGGGGGGGGAAAGGTGAATGGAGACAAGCATAACAATTGACTTAACACCCACAATATACCAATTGGCAAAATTGGTATAATTACGGTGGGTTAAACTTCAAAATAATGAAGAACAGTTCACTACGCACCTCTCGCTCGCTCGCTCTCTCTCTCCCTCTCTTTTCTCCCGCTCTTTTTTTTTTTTACCACAGGAGCTGAAGCCTTTCATTGCCTGTGAGAGGAGACCAGTGAGGATAACCAGCTGGAGCTGCGGAACTTCTGATACCCCTGATCATGGGATGGATCATGCTGATATGCTTGACTTTGTTGGATTGCATTCGCATGCCACATGAGGACACACACCACCACTACATTAAAGCTAATCACCATGTCTCAGTAATCTGCATGAATAATGAGCAACTCTTGCTTGCTGAGACTGTACATACAAGACATTTTTGTTAAATAAATAAATAAATAAATGCAAATAAATAGATGAATTAAATTCTTTGTTTTAGAAATCAATCTGCATCTCTTCCTAAATTTGAGTGTACACAAGGAAATTTCTTGATCTGCCACCCAGTTTCTAGCTGTGACTCATCTAACAAGCACACTCTACTAAACCAACTGATATTCCTAGCTGTCATATCACAATGCCTGTAATTAATGCGTGGTGTGTCCCGTAGAAGAAAATATGCAATTTACTTCGATGCTTAGGATTAATATGAACGATCGTATCACTCCATACAGTTTTCCCTGGTGTCTAGAAAGCACTGAAATTTCATTCCTAGGTTAAAAAAAAAGAAAAGAAAAGTAAAGCCTGTGAACAGATATCATAGGTGAGAGTAGCATTACTCACAAAACTGCATCACATACTCTTCCTGGAAATCTTCCAAAACAATCCACACTTAAGGAGCCAGTTGATGTTAAAGAATGTGTTAGAGAGGGAGCACACTGGCACAACCTCTTATCTTTGGCTTGTTTCTGCAGACTTTCTGTTCTACCAGCACTTATTGGCTGTGTGGAAGAATCGCTTGTACTGAACTTCCTTCTAGATTTAATGGCAGATGCACTTTGGTGTACTTGTATCCTTGTATGAGAAACAGGCACTTTTAAATGGTGATAATACAGAAGAACCACGTCTTTCAGGTGTTACATGTGTACAGTATATAGTTTGTTCACATGGGGCAGTGGTGGCTGGGTGGTTAAGACTTTGGGTTACTGATCGAAATGTCAGGGGTTAAAACCCCAGCGCTGCCACTGTTGGGCCCTTGAGCAAGGCCCTTAACCCTCTCTGCTCCAGCGGCGCCGTATCATGGCTGGTTGATATTGATATTGTCTGGCTAGGTCTGCTTCTCTCTTATCTTTCCCTCCTCCCTTCACTCCTCTGTACATAAACTGGCCTCTCTATTTTGAGAGTAAGCTGATGACATCTTTCTGAAGTTATGCTTCTGTTGATCTGAAGATTCTTCAAACATGTGAATAAACATCCAGAGTTTGAAGATCACACCAGTCTGTGTACTGACTCATGTTTGCCAAAGGCATCCCAGAAGTGGTGAGGCTTTTATAGCAGCAAAGGGAGATCCAACTCTGAAATGAGATTGCACATATGGGTGTGATGTTCAGGTGAGCACATACTTTTGGCCATGTAATGTAGAACCACAGTTACATATGTAATTAGCATTCTTTACTACCCCCATTAACCCCCAGGAACAGTGAGAATCACATGGATAACGTGCCCCAATTGCACGAGGAATCAACACACCTTATCACTAACTGGAAAGGCGATAACTGCTGTGTTTATGCTTCTGGGAGAGGCTATTTTAAACTTGTACAACCTAAAGAAAGTGCACTGTGACATCCAGGTAGCAGCAGTGTGTACTTCCTGGCATGGCACTCCTATAAGTAATGCCTATGAGGAGGAGCCACTTATGTTGGAGTGGCAAGTCATGGTTGGAACAGGGTGTTGAGTCCATCTGTTGGCCATCATGATGAAGTACACAATCTAATGGGTCAGACTCTGTTTAGACAATAGAGCTCTTCATGTCTTTCCTCTGTGTCATATGAATGGTTCCTGTGTGGATCAGATCGCTACTGTCCAGGGTAAATAGGACCGAGTACTCTCACAACAAGAGACACTCTATAGGCTAACCTTTATGGAAATGCTGCATGGTCAATGGCTTGATTTGGAGAGTGTGATATGACTTTGGATAGAAATCCTGGGTTCAACCACATGGTCACTCCAGAGTCATCTTGCCACCAATGTACGCAGGATGAACTGTATCACTAAAGCATACAATTCTCCCACTCTTTTTGCTGGAGTAATTGCTTGCAGAAAGTCATTTTTAAAGAGAGAAATTTCAGTTCTGCATCTTACATAGGCTCATCAGTTGGGGCTTAAGGGAATCCAGCACAGGGTAGAAATCCTGTGGCAGACTCCTGGGGAACCATGGTGGGGGAAGTCACTTTGTCCCCTTCAGAAAGTTTATGAGCGCCCATGCAGGAGTTATACACTGTGCTGTAAATTGCCACGTAGATCGTTAATACATCGGTGAAGCTATAGGGCAGTGGTCGAGAACCTATGGCTCTTTGACACAAATCATGTGGCTCACCAGGTACCTCACCTTTTTCCAACATGATTGTTAAAAACTTAGACACATCACTAGAGATCAGTTTCCTGCAACAAATGCAACGTCAATTACAGTTCAGTTGTTGTACCGCCTACCGAACTTGATGAAAGGTCAGTTGACAATAATATATATTTCAAGTTGTTCCGACCAGTGCACGTATGCAGTGTTGTGCACTGTGGACAGCAGCAGCTGCAAGCGTGGACAGGGGCAACTGGAAGCCTGAATGCTGGTAGCTTTTCTGGCTGATTGGAGATTGTAAGACAAGGAAACCTTTTACTGACAAGAGGATATGTAAAGTCGTGTATGTTGAGTATGGCAACTGAACTGTTTGTGGATTTCCCAAAGAAGGAGAAACATGCTCCTGTCAGAGATAGAGAGGGAAAAGACAGAAAAGAGCACAAATATAACTTCAGTAGTATTTTTTCTTTCGCTGGATGAGTGTGTGTGTGTGTGTGTGTGTGTGTGTGTGTGTGTGTGTGTGTGTGTGTGTGTGTGTGTGTGTGTGTGTGTATGTGAGAGAGAGAGAGAGAGAGAGAGAGAGAGAGAGAGCTACAGTAAACAACTGGCATTTGTGATGACAGTATGTCTGGGAATTAGGCCACAAGTAGCCTTACAACTGACACACACTTTCAACTCCTTTGCCACTTTCTGCAATCATGTAAGTTCTTTTGAGTGACTGCTGGCTTTGCTAATGCTTTAATGCAGATGCCTCTTTATATATATACAGCGCCCTCCACTAATATTGGCACCCTTGGTAAATATAAGCAAAGAAGGCTGTGACAATTTTTCTTTATTGTTTAACCTTTTGATTTTTTTTTATCCAAAAATTCACAAAAATACTCTGATCTCATGGATATCAAACAATTGCAAGCACAACAAATGTTTATCCAAAATAAATAACTTTGTTAAATATGTGTGCAACATTGAAAAAAAAAATCACTTTCTTGAATAGAATTTTTATTTTCATTAAATAAGGTTACCTGAGATTAACTGATACACACTGTTAAATATGTGATGAAAGATGAAGTTTAATTGGTAGAGTTACAACAAGCAAATGGCACTTTAAAATTGGACAACCAAACAAACATACGATATTCTATACATTTTCTAATTGACACATTTTCTTTTCTATACTCTTTTTTATTTTATTTGTTATTTCAGTTCTTTTCTGCATTTCAACAGCTGATTTGTTCAGTTCTGGCAAGCCAAGTTCAAAATAAAATCCAATATAGAGGCCATACCACAAGATGAAAACCACTCTTCAACGGTAAGAATCAAAGTCAGACTGGAATTTGTAATAAAATACAGAGATGAGCCAATCTTAACTTCTACCAAAGTGATGGAACGGTCAGGGTGTAAAGAAAGAAAGGATCTGCTCATGATCCAAAACATACAAGCTCATCTGTGAAACATGGTGGAGGTAGTGTCATGGCTTGGGCTTTCATATATGCTTCTGTAACAGCAGCAGAATTAATTCAGAAGTTTACTGGAACATTTGACAGAGAAATGCATCCAAATTAGTCAGGACGAACTTTATCATGCAGCAAGACAATGACCCAAAACACACTGCCAAAACACATTGGGGGGCAAGTGGAAGGTTTTAGACTGGCCAAGTCAATCACCAAACCTTAACTCAAGTGAACATGTATTTCACCTCCTGAAGAGGAGACTGATGGGAGAAACCCTCTGAAACAAATAACAATTGAAAGAGGCTGCGGTAAAAGACTGGAAAAGCATCACAAAAGAAGAAACCAAAAACGTGGTGATGTTAATGAGTCGCAGACTTGATGCACTTATTGCAAGTGAGGGATATGTAACCAAATATTATGTGTTACTTAATTAAATTTACTTCAAGCCTCATCCGTTCATATACTTCTGCTCACCTAAAAACTGTATGGTCTGATACAAAAGGTCTATGTTTTATGTTGTTTAGCACATCTACATGTAAATACCAGGAAATAAAAGCTAAAACTTTTCACTCAATGCATATCCATCTTGTGAGCACAAACCCAAATGCCTATGGTGTATAGCACAAACAAAGGAATTGGCCCTGCCTTTCCAATAGTTTTGGCGGGGACTGGAATTCTTTTCTTAGCACATAGATATTGTTTTATTTTGGAGCACAGTAAGGCAGTGTTTAATTCAGTCTACTGAAACACACCACTGATGAAAGAAAAACAAATATAGCATATAAATGTACATGATATAAATAATCTCCTAATTATATCTATGTTAACGTGCTTGGTCCCGCAATTATCTACACTACTGTTACACAATATAAAATAACTTTTATTTACTCATTCATTACAAGACTTTGCGTGTGCAATTGCATGTGGGCATGTGCATTTTGTTTTGTTTGTTTTTTGTTTTGTTTAAAACTGCAGCTTTTATTTATTTTTTTTAAATACTGAAAAAGTCAAAGGGATTTCTTTTCGGTGCTGAGATTAGGGCTAGACTCAGGAGTAAGTATAGCATTAATTAGCTGCATTAATAATTATGTCAATGGAATGTCCTCAAAAGGATAGTAAGACAAAAGTGTGTGTCTATGTGAGTGTGCATGAGAGGGGAATGGGCAGCTTGTAAGTGGATGGAGAAAAGGGTCATTAGTGCCTGGAAATACACCCTGTTCATTTAGTAATTAACCGCAAACAGGGGTGCAAAAAGTACTGAGAAATTATAATTATACTGCATTTGACTAAAGGTTGTAACCCATTATTTCTGACCTCTGACCAAGAACAGTCAAAGAAAAAGCCCTCAACTTGGAATTCCAACTTGTGAACTCATGGTCTTCGCAACTCTGAGTTCCTTCCAAGTTCAGCAGGTAACATCCGATCAATATGGCTGAACATAGCATCAGCAGTAAACAACGTATCCATTCTTACCTTTAAATGAGTTCTTCTGTACGTATATTACTATTCGTTTTTAGGTACATCAACACACAGGCACATTCGCTTGTTGAATATATAACATTGACTATACAGTTTGCTGTTTCGAGGAGGAAAATATACATCACTCATCACAGTTATCTGGCTAGCTTGTTGCTAACAAAAGACTTTTCCTCTGCTTTGTAGCTTGAAAACACATTTAATAATGTTGTCATTCCAAGCTCTGTCTTCCCACTTCCTTGGCAAGTTGAATGCAGTGTTAAGTGAAATTTTAGACAATTTGTCAAAATCTTACACAGGTAAAAGTGGAAGAGTCCAGACAAAAATATACTCAGGTGAAAAATAAAAAAATTAATGAATGAATGTTAAATTGTACTCCGTGTATTACATTAGTGCAACTTGTATTACTTATGGGCACACGGTGGATTAGTGGTTAGCACGTTCGCCTTACAGGTTCAGGGGTTCGATTCCCACTGTGGCCATGTGTGCGCAGAGTTTTCATGTTCTCCCCGTGCTGCGGGGGTTTCCTCTGGGTACTCTGGTTTCCTCCCCCCAATGAGGCTGATTGACATGTCCGTTCTGTGAGTGTGTATGTGATTGTGCCCTGTGATGGACTGGCACTCTGTCCAGGGTGTGTCCCCCACCCTGTGCCCGATGCTCCCTGGGATAGGCTCTATCTAAAACTATTAGGAGATTTTGTTTTAAAGCAGTCATGCTGTTTTACCAGAAACATCATTCGATCTCT